TTTAAAAACCTTGATTTATAATTATGAAGTCCTGATTATGTTTCCAAGTGAATAACTGTGACACAAAGTCGTTCAAGAGGCAAGCTTTAAAAGCTCAGACTTGGCACATACTGGTTTCTGGTACAGTTCACCCCTTGTGTGATTCGTGTGACTGATATCTCTGTTTGAGGTGGTGCAAAGTAACTAGAACATTTTTTGTTTACACTTTGTCTACATTTACATTGACAGCTTTTTGTAAGTTTGCAGGCCGTGACTGCCCTACCTCTCAAGCCAAGGTCCTCACTAAAGAATGGTTTCCCTCTTTCTGATGTGTTGCCAGATTGTTATTGCAGCTGTCTTCAGACAGGTTTAAGGAACCTTCGGTCCTTGGGCGAGACACTTCACCGTTGCCTACTGGTGGTGGTCAAAGGGCCCAGTGGCCCCAGTGTCCAGCAGCCTCGCCTCTGTCAGTGCGCCCCAGGGCAGCTGTGGCTACAGTGTAGCTGCCATCACCAGTGTGTGAATGGGTGTGTGAATGACTGAATGTAGTGTAAAGCGCTTTGGGGTCCTTAGGGACTGAGTACAGCGCTATACAAATACAGGCCATTTACCATTTCCTGTTCTTTTTTAAATCTAACAGCTGACAAATACCACATATACTGTAATAATGAAAAAAGCAGAACAAAACCTAAACATACTAACATAAAATAAACTGAAACAAACAAATCTATCTATATTTTGTCTGACAGACATCATGACTTTTCTGTTGCCTTTTTTCCATTCATTATCTCTAACTCCTGTTAAGAAAACCATGAAGAAAAATTAAGCTTTAGTGCCTAAAAGCTTTTATTAAGCTCTTTATTTATGAAGGACAAAGTATACTGTGAACCAAAGCCATAAGAACATAGTGGCTTTCTCAATATGCGTACTTGTGCGTACTTGCGTTCTTGTGTACTCGTGATACGTCACCAGTCAGAGACCAAGTACTGTTCCAATTCGAAGTACGCATCAAGCCGAGAACGCGAAAAAGTCCCGGATGTGTTCTCGCTCCGCCCGTTTTATCGAGCATGCATCGGTGGTGACTTGTGTGGACTTGGTACAGCTAAATATCCCAGAATGCATTTCGTCCAAAACTCAAACGTGGCAATGGCGGACGAGCGGGGCTAAAACTTTTACATATTCCTCTTTCTGGTCACAAAATAACTTTTAAGTTATTTTCAAGCGAGAATGTAGCTGTGTGAACTTCAAATATCTGCTCGATTTATCAAGATATCATATATTTCCAAACGCGCTCCGATGTTTTCGGAGACGTCTGTGACCTGCCAGCTCCATAGCAGACCGCGAGGTCGAGGATCATTAGAGCCGGCGAGAACAGCGGACTCCCCCCCCCCCCCCCCCCCCCCCCCCCCCCCCCCCCGCGGTCTTTTCGCTACTCAGGTTAAACAAACCCCAGTAGCTGTCTATTTTATTGAGTGTCCACTAAAATAAAAATAAAAGCGTTCTAACATCTCACCTGCTTGTTTTTATTAAGGTATGTACACGTATGTACATGTACACTATTTTTATTAATAGAGATTTCACTACTGAGGTTAAACATGATGTATAAGTCACTTAGATCACTTCTAAATATTAATGTTTGGTTTATTTCAGTGTTTTATTTGTTCCTGAGTAAACCGGTTTGGCTGTGATTAAAGTTAAGCTTCATAACATATTACTCACAGTTAAATTAAGAGGGGACGGCAGTAAAAACTCCCATCCGTACTCCCGTGCGTTCTCGCCGAGAACGCGAGTACGTACTCGCCGAGAACGCGAGTCCGTACTCCCCGAGAACGCGAGTCCGTACTCCCGTGCATTCTCGGCGAGTACTTGCCGAGAACGCACGGGAGTACGGACTCGCGTACTTGAGAAAGGGCCAATATCTTTATTTTGTAATCTGAAAAAACAAAGTCAGGCCATGGAGCAACCACCGTGTCCCTATAATTTGCTGGATTTGCAGTAAACATGGGCATCCAGTAAGTGCAGGAGTAAAATGTTTTACAGTGAACTAATGAGACCTTTGTGCTTTTGAAGTGTTCTCTTAGTCTGTGAGTAAACCGCCAATAACACCTGTGGCTACCAAACACGAGGAAAGACAAAAAAGACCTGTTTGACAACATCTGGGCATGCCCTCGCTCATCTGCACTCTGTTTCTGAGTGCTGTCTTTCATCTGGCAGCAATGTCATCTACCAATCAGAAGGTTGGTGGTTCAATTCCTGGGTCCTCCAACTCCTCAGGCAACATACTGAACCTGAGGTTCCCCTGATACATCAATGCGTGTATGAATGTTAGATGAACATGGCTTTGGCATATAAAAAGTGCTGTATGCTTGAGTCCATGACATTTGTAGCAGGAAAACACTTGAAAGTTGGAATTGAGTACACAAGCACTATATCTGTTCCAGTCTGTTGGCACTTGTTAAAGCATAAACAAAGAAATAATAAAGAGAAGGGAAAACATCGACAGATTCTCAACTTGGTGATTAACCTCCACAACTTTGCTACACTTGTTCTTGTATAATGTATCTAAGCAGTTAGGGACTTGTTATAATGTTATAAATGTTATATGTTATATAAATGTTATAAAACAAGGTGGCACCTCAGGCAGAAGAGGTGGTGGGACACGCCCACACAGGCACCTTGAGAGGAGGCCCTGCTAGGGCCGTAACAATTATACACAAAATGTAAACACAGAGTGTGGGATATCTTTAACGCCACTCTGCCACACCACTATGAGTCATGTAGAAAAAAAACAACCATCATAACCGGCAGACAAAAATACAGAAGCGAGTCTGGTGTTTGTCTCCTCCTCCAAACAGAAAAGAGGAAGGACGACATTGCACATAAAAACCAGCTACACATTAGTAAATTGAGCTGTGTGTTCACAGAACTTTCCTCCACACATCAGGAAGACTTTAAAGCAGGTGAGTGCTGAAGATGACTGTAGTTACAGGACAAGATTTGAGTTTACTCTCGTTATTTAGCCTTTTATTAAATTATTCTTTCATCATCACATAATATCTGAGCACGTGGATGATTCTTTTTCATGTTGTTTGCAATCATTTCATGGATTTTTGCTTATTATTTTCACTCTCCCTATTTTATTTCAGTTTGCAAAGCACCAAATACAATGGCAGGTAAGTGCATTTAAATATTTGTCAGAACAACTGATCACTTTTATATTTTTTGCAGAAAAACAATCACTTTTAAAGACGTTTGCATAATTAGAGGGCATTCTTCTTCCTGTCTACACCTACAACCAATAAACATGCCCACCTCATGTTCTCTATCATATCCAGACTATCTCTCCACTTGTTATATAATGCATATGTACAGGGTATGAACCCCCTTGGACGTGGCGTGTGGATACTTCTTTAAGACACTCTGGCTCCACAGCTTACGTATAAAACACCTGCGCAGACATGAAACCGGTGATTGTTTGATTGGAACGTGTCTCCAAGCGGCATGAAGGTGGAGAGATAGTCTCTCACTCAGAGGACCAGGGTTACAGTGTAACCGTACGTTTCCTCTAAGACTTAAAGCTTGTTTGGTTTGCAGATGAGAGCTTCAAAAAGGAGTTTCTTGATACCCACAATGCCTATAGGGCACAGCATGGTGCACCACCACTGACCTTTAATACTGAGCTGGATGACGCAGCTCAAAAATGGGCCAATCAAATGCTGGCAAAAAAGAAACTTGGTCACAGTGACACCGATGATGGAGAGAACGTCTTCTATGCATGGAGCTCTGAAACCAAGACGCTAACAGGTAAATGATTCTTTGCAGATAACTCCTTTGTCCACCTCTTCACCTGTCAGAAACAGGTCGCTTTGTTATCACAATGAATTAAAGTCTCACTAATCTTTAAAAGAAACAGATTCCACTGTATCTCTTCTCATTTCAAGTAAACAATTAGAAATGTTCATCCTTATTTCATTTTAAAGTTTCTGAGCTATAAAACCCGTACTCCAACCACCAAATTAACTCTTTATGTTATTTTTCTCTGTCTCCATGTTTCAGGAAAAGAAGCTGTGGATTCATGGTACAGTGAGATCAAGGATTATGACTTCAAAAAGTCTGGACATCAACCCAAGACGGGTAAAACACAGCCCTCCTGAAAAGTTCTGCATATACCTGTACTGTATATACCTGCGTTGCTAAAGTATTTGTCATTACAAGATCAGGTCATCATCAGTAAGTAGTATGTTTTTACACATTTTCCTTTTTCCACTAGGTCATTTTACTCAGGTGGTGTGGAAAAGCAGCACTCAGCTGGGTGTGGGCATAGCCACTGATGGCAATACGGTCTTTGTGGTTGGGCAGTACCGCCCAGCTGGTAACATTACCAATGCAGGATACTATCAGAAAAATGTCCTCCCAAAAGGAACAGGTAACACTCACACACATTTTGATGTTCTACTTAAAGTGTTGTGTTTGTATCAGATTATTATTACAGATTAAGAAAGACGAATATATAAAGTACTAAATTTATACTTTGTCAAAAAAAAAATCAAAAGTATGTGTTGATTTGTTAGTTGTTGAAGCCTACCTTGAAACATTAAAGTGAGTGATCACTTTTCACATTAGTAAATTGAACTGTGTGTTCACAGAACTTTCCTCCACAAATGAGGAAGACTCTGAAGCAGGTGAGTGCTGAAGATGACTGTAGTTACAGGACAAGATTTGAGTTTACTCTTGTTATTTAGCCCTTTATTACATTACTCTTTCATCATCACATAATATCTGAGCACATGGATGATTCTTTTTCATGTTGTTTGCAATCATTTCGTGGATTGCTGCTTATTATTTTCACTCTCCCTATTTTATCTCAGGTTGCAAAGCAGCAACCAGGTGACAGGTAAGTGCACTGACAGTGTTGGGATGTTACTTTTTAAAATGTATTCCACTGCCAAGAGAATACATGCACTAAATGTAGTTTGTAAGTATTCTGTTTAAGTTACTCAATGTGAGTAATGTATTCGAATACTTTTGATTACTTGTGATGCTTTTACAACTACATGGAGCTGTTTTGGCAAAGAAGAATGGCAAGGATTTTAGTCTGTAGATGTGCAAGCTGGTAGAGACAGACCTAAAAGTCTGGCAGCTGGAACTGCAGCAAAGGTGGTTCTACAAAGTATTGACTCAGGGGGCTGAATAATTACGGCACACCCCACTTTGCAGTCATTTATTTGTAAAAATGTTTGGAATCATGAATGATTTTCGTTCCACTTCTCACGTGTGCACCACTTTGTGTTGGTCTTTCACGTGCAATTCCAATAACATTGATTCATGTTTGTGGCTGTAATGTGACAAAATTGGGAAAGTTCAAGGGGCGAATACGTTTGCAAGCCACTGTATTACTATTACTGAAGGCTACTTGCCACCGAGCTAGCATTGCTAGCTGGCATTAGCTGAGGTTAGATTATAGACTGATTTCAGAACTGCACAGCTGGCAGGTTGTTAATACTAGCCATCAAGTCTAACAGTCTGCAGTCTATGAACTAACCTCAGGTAGCACCAGCTAAAATGTTAGCTCAGTGGAGAGTAGCCTTCAGTAATAGTAATAATCACACAGCAGAAGTACATCGAAGATACTGAAGTGGCACATAACCGAGCTAACTACTCAACTAAAAAAGGTACTTGCAGTAGACTAACGATAGTTTTTAAAAGAACTTACTTCCAGATGTTTCTTTAGGTTGGGAGTCTTTTGACGCTGACAGCAGCTTGGCTGCTAGCAAACAGAGTTTGCATTGCACGGTCAGATTTCATCCTTTCTTCTTTAAATGTAAACGGTGTCGGAATTTCCAAGTAAGAAATGCATTCCTGCTCGTGCACTGCTGGCTCTGTTGTGCAGGCTCCGGGTCCATTGTGTAACTGATGCCACCAACATTAACAGGACGCTTACATTAGAGCCTCTTATATCATATTTCGTCTGGGTTCCCAGCAATGCAAATTACCAAATTTTCACAGGGAATAGAGAGGGATAGCCTAACATATGAAACAGGAACTGACCCCATGTAATCCATTTATTCAACAAAGTAACTGCATTCTAATTATTGCTATTTAGATGGTAACTGTAACGGATACAGTTGATCATATTGTGTATTTTAAATACGTAATGTCGGTAAATGTATTCCGTGACTCATCAACACTGTGCATTGAATTATTTGTCAGAATAACCGATCACTTTTAAAGATGTTGCTTAATTAGAGAGCATTCTTCATCCTGTCTACACCTACAACAATAAACATGCACCTCATGTTCCTCTAAGACTTAAAGCTTGTTTGGTTTGCCAGATGAGAGCTTCAAAAAGGAGTTTCTTCATACCCACAATGCTATAGGCACAGCATGGTGCACCACCACTGACCTTTAATACTGAGCTGGATGACGCAGCTCAAAATGGGCCAATCAAATGCTGGCAAAAAGAAACTTGGTCACAGTGACACCGATGATGGAGAGAACGTCTTCTATGCATGGAGCTCTGAAACCAAGACGCTAACAGGTAAATGATTCTTTGCAGATAACTCTTTGTCCACCTCTTCACCTGTCAGAAACAGGTCGCTTTGTTATCACAATGAATTAAAGTCTCACTAATCTTTAAAGAAACAGATTCCACTGTATCTCTTCTCATTTCAAGTAAACAATTAGAAATGTTATCCTTATTTCATTTTAAAGTTCTGAGCTATAAAACCCGTATCCAACCACCAAATTAACTCTTTATGTATTTTTCTCTGTCTCCATGTTTCAGGAAAAGAAGCTGTGGATTCATGGTACAGTGAGATCAAGGATTATGACTTCAAAAAGTCTGGACATCACCAAGACGGGTAAAACCAGCCCTCCTGAAAAGTTCTGCATATACCTGTACTGTATATACCTGCGTTGCTAAGTATTTGTCATTACAAGATCAGGTCATCATCAGTAAGTAGTATGTTTTTACAATTTTCCTTTTCCACTAGGTCATTTTACTCAGGTGGTGTGGAAAAGCAGCACTCAGCTGGTGTGGGCATAGCCACTGATGGAATACGGTCTTTGTGGTTGGGCAGTACCGCCCAGCTGGTAACATTACCAATGCAGGATACTATCAGAAAAATGTCCTCCCAAAAGGAACAGGTAACACTCACACCATTTTGATGTTCTATTAAAGTGTTGTGTTTGTATCAGATTATTATTACAGATTAAGAAAGACGAATATATAAAGTACTAATTTATACTTTGTCAAAAAAAAAATCAAAGTATGTGTTGTTTGTTAGTTGTTGAAGCCTATCTTGAAACATTAAAGTGAGTGATCACTTTTCACATTAGTAAATTGAACTGTGTGTTCACAGAACTTTCCTCCACAAATGAGGAAGACTCTGAAGCAGGTGAGTGCTGAAGATGACTGTAGTTACAGGACAAGATTTGAGTTTACTCTTGTATTTAGCCCTTTATTACATTACTCTTCATCATCACATAATATCTGAGCACGTGGATGATTCTTTTCATGTTGTTTGCAATCATTTCGTGGATTGCTGCTTATTATTTTCACTCTCCCTATTTTATCTCAGGTTGCAAAGCAGCAAACCAGGTGACAGTAAGTGCACTGACAGTGTTGGGAATGTTACTTTTAAAATGTATTCCACTGCAAGAGATACATGCACTAAATGTAGTTTGTAAAGTATTCTGTTAGTTACTCAATGTGAGTAATGTATTCTGAATACTTTTGATTACTTGTGATGCTTTTTACAACTACATGGAGCTGTTTTGCAAAGAGAATGGGCAAGGATTTCAGTCTGTAGATGTGCAAAGCTGGTAGAGACAGACCCTAAAAGTCTGGCAGCTGGAACTGCAGCAAAAGGTGGTTCTACAAAGTATTGACTCAGGGGCTGAATAATTAGCACACCCCACTTTGCAGTCATTTATTTGTAAAAATGTTTGGATCATGAATGATTTTCGTTCCACTCTCACGTGTGCACCACTTTGTGTTGGTCTTCACGTGCAATTCCAATAACATTGATTCATGTTTGTGGCTGTAATGTGACAAAATTTGGGAAAGTTCAAGGGGCCGAATACGTTTGCAAGCCACTGTATTACTATTACTGAAGGCTACTTGCCACCGAGCTAGCATTGCTAGCTGGCATTAGCTAAGGTTAGATTTCAGAACTGCACAGCTGGCAGGTTGTGAATACTAGCCATCAAGTCTAACAGTCTGCAGTCTATGAACTAACCTCAGGTAGCACCAGCTAAAAATGTTAGCTCAGTGGAGAGTAGCCTTCAGTAATAGTAATACATCACACAGCAGAAGTACATCGAAGATACTGAAGTGGCACATAACCGAGCTAACTACTCAACTAAAACAAGGTACTTGCAGTAGACTAACGATAGTTTTTAAAAAAGAACTTACTTCCAGATGTTTCTTTAGGTTGGAGTCTTTTGACGCTGACAGCAGCTTGGCTGCTAGCAAACAGAGTTTGCATTGCACGGTCAGATTTCATCCCTTTCTTCTTTAAATGTAAAATGGTGTCGGAATTTCCAAGTAAGAAATGCATTCCTGCTCGTGCACTGCTGGCTCTGTTGTGCAGGCTCCGGTCCATTGTGTAACTGATGCCACCAACATTAACAGGTTAGCCTACACTAGAGCCTCTTATATCATATTTCGTCTGGGTTCCCAGCAATGCAATTACCAAATTTTCACAGGGAATAGAGAGGGGATAGCCTAACATATGAACAGGAACTGACCCCATGTAATCCATTTATTCAACAAAGTAACTGCATTCTAATATTGCCTATTTAGATGGTAACTGTAACGGAATACAGTTGATCATATTGTGTATTTTAAATACGTAATGTCGGTAAATGTATTCCGTGACTCATCAACACTGTGCATTGAATTATTTGTCAGAATAACCGATCACTTTTAAAGATGTTGCTTAATTAGAGAGCATTCTTCATCCTGTCTACACCTACAACCAATAAACATGCACCTCATGTTTCCTCTAAGACTTAAGCTTGTTTGGTTTGCAGATGAGAGCTTCAAAAAGGAGTTTCTTCATACCCACAATGCCTATAGGGCACAGCATGGTGCACCACCACTGACCTTTAATACTGAGCTGGATGACGCAGCTCAAAAATGGGCCAATCAAATGCTGGCAAAAAAGAAACTTGGTCACAGTGACACCGATGATGGAGAGAACGTCTTCTATGCATGGAGCTCTGAAACCAAGACGCTAACAGGTAAATGATTCTTTGCAGATAACTCCTTTGTCCACCTCTTCACCTGTCAGAAACAGGTCGCTTTGTTATCACAATGAATTAAAGTCTCACTAATCTTTAAAAGAAACAGATTCCACTGTATCTCTTCTCATTTCAAGTAAACAATTAGAAATGTTCATCCTTATTTCATTTTAAAGTTTCTGAGCTATAAAACCCGTACTCCAACCACCAAATTAACTCTTTATGTTATTTTCTCTGTCTTCATGTTTCAGGAAAAGAAGCTGTGGATTCATGGTACAGTGAGATCAAGGATTATGACTTCAAAAAGTCTGGACATCAACCCAAGACGGGTAAAACACAGCCCTCCTGAAAAGTTCTGCATATACCTGTACTGTATATACCTGCGTTGCTAAAGTATTTGTCATTACAAGATCAGGTCATCATCAGTAAGTAGTATGTTTTTACACATTTTCCTTTTACCACTAGGTCATTTTACTCAGGTGGTGTGGAAAAGCAGCACTCAGCTGGGTGTGGGCATAGCCACTGATGGCAATACGGTCTTTGTGGTTGGGCAGTACCGCCCAGCTGGTAACATTACCAATGCAGGATACTATCAGAAAAATGTCCTCCAAAAGGAACAGGTAACACTCACACACATTTTGATGTTCTACTTAAAGTGTTGTGTTTGTATCAGATTATTATTACAGATTAAGAAAGACGAATATATAAAGTACTAAATTTATACTTTGTCAAAAAAAAATCAAAAGTATGTGTTGATTTGTTAGTTGTTGAAGCCTACCTTGAAACATTAAAGTGAGTGATCACTTTTCACATTAGTAAATTGAACTGTGTGTTCACAGAACTTTCCTCCACAAATGAGGAAGACTCTGAAGCAGGTGAGTGCTGAAGATGACTGTAGTTACAGGACAAGATTTGAGTTTACTCTTGTTATTTAGCCCTTTATTACATTACTCTTTCATCATCACATAATATCTGAGCACGTGGATGATTCTTTTTCATGTTGTTTGCAATCATTTCGTGGATTGCTGCTTATTATTTTCACTCTCCCTATTTTATCTCAGGTTGCAAAGCAGCAAACCAGGTGACAGGTAAGTGCACTGACAGTGTTGGAATGTTACTTTTAAAATGTATTCCACTGCAAAGAGAATACATGCACTAAATGTAGTTTGTAAAGTATTCTGTTAAGTTACTCAATGTGAGTAATGTATTCTGAATACTTTTGATTACTTGTGATGCTTTTTACAACTACATGGAGCTGTTTTGCAAAGAAGAATGGGCAAGGATTTCAGTCTGTAGATGTGCAAAGCTGGTAGAGACAAACCCTAAAAGACTGGCAGCTGGAACTGCAGCAAAAGCTGGTTCTACAAAGTATTGACTCAGGGGCTGAATAATTATGCACACCCCACTTTGCAGTCATTTATTTGTAAAAAATGTTTGGAATCATGAATGATTTTTGTTCCACTTCTCACGTGTGCACCACTTTGTGTTGGTCTTTCACGTGCAATTCCAATAACATTGATTCATGTTTGTGGCTGTAATGTGACAAAATTTGGGAAAGTTCAAGGGGCCGAATACGTTTGCAAGCCACTGTATTACTATTACTGAAGGCTATTTGCCACCGAGCTAGCATTGCTAGCTGGCATTAGCTGAGGTTAGATTATAGACTGATTTCAGAACTGCACAGCTGGCAGGTTGTTAATACTAGCCATCAAGTCTAACAGTCTGCAGTCTATGAACTAACCTCAGGTAGCACCAGCTAAAAATGTTAGCTCAGTCGAGAGTAGCCTTCAGTAATAGTAATACATCACACAGCAGAAGTACATCGAAGATACTGAAGTGGCACATAACCGAGCTAACTACTCAACTAAAACAAGGTACTTGCAGTAGACTGACGATAGTTTTTAAAAAAGAACTTACTTCCAGATGTTTCTTTAGGTTGGAGTCTTTTGACGCTGACAGCAGCTTGGCTGCTAGCAAACAGAGTTTGCATTGCACGGTCAGATTTCATCCCTTTCTTCTTTAAATGTAAAACGGTGTCGGAATTTCCAAGTAAGAAATGCATTCCTGCTCGTGCACTGCTGGCTCTGTTGTGCAGGCTCCGGGTCCATTGTGTAACTGATGCCACCAACATTAACAGGAGCTTACACTAGAGCCTCTTATATCATATTTCGTCTGGGTTCCCAGCAATGCAAATTACCAAATTTTCACAGGGAATAGAGAGGGATAGCCTAACATATGAAACAGGAACTGACCCCCATGTAATCCATTTATTCAACAAAGTAACTGCATTCTAATTATTGCCTATTTAGATGGTAACTGTAACGGAATACAGTTGATCATATTGTGTATTTTAAATACGTAATGTCGGTAAATGTATTCCGTGACTCATCAACACTGTGCATTGAATTATTTGTCAGAATAACCGATCACTTTTAAAGATGTTGCTTAATTAGAGAGCATTCTTCATCCTGTCTACACCTACAACCAATAAACATGCCACCTCATGTTTCCTCTAAGACTTAAAGCTTGTTTGGTTTGCAGATGAGAGCTTCAAAAAGGAGTTTCTTCATACCCACAATGCCTATAGGGCACAGCATGGTGCACCACCACTGACCTTTAATACTGAGCTGGATGACGCAGCTCAAAAATGGGCCAATCAAATGCTGGCAAAAAAGAAACTTGGTCACAGTGACACCGATGATGGAGAGAACGTCTTCTATGCATGGAGCTCTGAAACCAAGAAGCTAACAGGTAAATGATTCTTTGCAGATAACTCCTTTGTCCACCTCTTCACCTGTCAGAAACAGGTCGCTTTGTTATCACAATGAATTAAAGTCTCACTAATCTTTAAAAGAAACAGATTCCACTGTATCTCTTCTCATTTCAAGTAAACAATTAGAAATGTTCATCCTTATTTCATTTTAAAGTTTCTGAGCTATAAAACCCGTACTCCAACCACCAAATTAACTCTTTATGTTATTTTTCTCTGTCTCCATGTTTCAGGAAAAGAAGCTGTGGATTCATGGTACAGTGAGATCAAGGATTATGACTTCAAAAAGTCTGGACATCAACCCAAGACGGGTAAAACACAGCCCTCCTGAAAAGTTCTGCACATACATGTACTGTATATACCTGCGTTGCTAAAGTATTTGTCATTACAAGATCAGGTCATCATCAGTAAGTAGTATGTTTTTACACATTTTCCTTTTTCCACTAGGTCATTTTACTCAGGTGGTGTGGAAAAGCAGCACTGAGCTGGGTGTGGGCATAGCCACTGATGGCAATACGGTCTTTGTGGTTGGGCAGTACCGCCCAGCTGGTAACATTACCAATGCAGGATACTATCAGAAAAATGTCCTCCCAAAAGGAACAGGTAACACTCACACACATTTTGATGTTCTACTGCTTCTACTTATAGTACAAAGGTGAAAATTAGTAAAGTCAGTTCACATGGAAATGTCTATATGTTAGACCTAAAGTTTCTCTAAACCTACCTTTTTATGTCCCAGGCTGCTTTCAATCAAAACAAAACATACTATTACTCCTACAGCTGACTCTGGACATCAGAATAACATTTGCACAGCTCACTAATATTTCCTGTTATTTCCTAGAGTAAAACTTTCCCAGTGTCAGAGAGGGAGCTGCAGCAGACAACAGACCTCAGTGCCCAGAGAAAATGACCTGGACCGTATTGGACCCATCACATGTGGTTTCCTTCAATGTTCCGAGATTGAACACCAAAAAATACGCCTGTCGCATCAAACACGATTTTACACAACTGTCTAGTCAAATACTGTCTAAGTAGAATTGGTGTTTTGATCATCTGAGTGAATAATTTTTGAGTAATGTTTCAATGATTTGAGTGCAGTACAAATAAAAACAAAAGTCTTTGTTGTCCCCACACGATAATAACTAAAGAATTTTTTTGAACTGAAGTTCATTTCACAAAGTAGCTCCTCCTTTTCACTCAGGGAACAACTGTACATTACACAAATGAACAGAAACTTAGCAGTTAGCTGCTTTTAATATGGGTTAAGTCAGAAAGAAAGATTGTTGCACTACAATAACAAAATTAATTTGAACTGAGCCAATTAAAAAAATGACTGATGATCAACAAGACATATTTAACTCTACTCAAGTTCAGTCATTTATTTACAGATTACATATTTGGTTTTTCAACTCACCTTAAGTTTATAATTAAGTTTAATTGATTAAAACATTACATTTTCACAGCACTTATATTTTACTAATTAGTTTTACATAATTCTATTTTGTCAACAGGTTCCACACAATTGAATATAGGACACCCGACATATTTTTTTAAATTTCATTTATTGCCAACACGTTTAAAACAATACCGCAGTGCCATAACTGAAACACACACTGCTGGCCCATCATGTTTACAACAGTCTGGCAACAGATTCAGCATAAAAATAATTGATGCACAATATTAACATACATCCATATCTGCCAAAGTCTTAAAAATTAAATATCTGTATATAACAAAAACAAAAACCCCCCCCGAAATTAAACAAAGTACACTTCACAACATTACATATGCACATGTGCTGCAAGTGTTTACATACATTCACTCCATTCCAAATCACACTTTTCTATGGAAGCCCGTTTCCACCATTAAAAAAAAAAACAAAAAAAAAAAACAAGTATCCATATCCATACCTATAATTTCGAGTTACTTCTCTCAAAATCTCGAGTTAATAACTCGAGATTTTGAGTTAGCTCTTCCAATCAGTAATCGATGTGAATGAGGTCACTTTCTTGTTACCCAGAAGCATATGGCACAAAGTAACACACACTCAAAACAGGATTGCAGCAAAATGGCGCTTTTGCGAGTACGTTTGCTGATAGTAACGCCGTGTGATTCAGCTAATAACACAAGGATTCCATCATTGTTGAAGCCACGCTGAAAATACTCAGTAATCTGTTTATTCATGACTGGATGTAATACGGGTAGCTTAGCTGTAGCATTTGTACCTGAGGGCTTCAGCTTCAGGGCAACAAGGAAATTACGTCATTCAGATTACTGACTGGCAGTGCTAACTCGAAATTTTGAGTTACTTTTCTCAAAATTTTGAGTTAATAAGTTGAAATTTCGAGAAAATATCTCAAAATTTCAAGATATGGATCTTTTTTTTTTTGTGGCAGAAACGGGCTTCCATACTTTTTCTTTACTCTTAGTCTGTATTGTATTTGGCCATACAATTTACATAATGTTGCATGGAATATGAATACAATAGGAAGATACTACTACCTCATTTCAATATCATTTTCACCAAATTATGACATGCACACCACCCTTCAACAACGTTACAAATATTTTCTCAAGTGTTGTTTTTCCCTCCCCTGCTATTTTCAGACAATCAATCATTTTATTCACTTTCAGCCTAAAATGAAATTCTGCCCATTTGACAGAACATTCAGCCTCCAAATCAATTGTTGGCCCGTTCACGCAGTTTATTCCTGAGCAGCTGTACCTTGGCATCCAGATGAAGGAAGAAATTCTGAAATTGACTATGTGCACGAGACAATGCTAACTTCCTGGTTTGAGACCGGATGTGGGGTTGTGCATTTCCGGTAGCTTTACTTTGCGGTCAATCGCTACTGCGAAGATATCCTCCAAAATCATGTCCAAAACTCGAAAACGGAAAGATGGCGTTAAGTTACAAAGAGCAGAAGCTGGGAACACTCACCGCTGCTGTGTCATAAAAAATCTAATGATCAATTTTGACGTTTAAAGAGTTTAGATCGATCAGTTGTTTACATCACTCAACACAAGCTGAACTGCATCACTGCAGCAGAAGACACATCGTCCACATTCAGAAGCACATCTCTGTATAGTGACTGGTCTCATGATTTAAACAGGCAAATGTTCAGCATTCAAACTACAGGTGAAGAATAGTCAAACCAGATGTTTCCCCCATTACGTCGAGATCAGCTAGTCAAGTACACACCTACACAGCATGTTAACAAACCGTGAAAAAAGCCACACAAAAAATGAATGATTACTGGTAACGGTTTCTATACATTAGTATTTACGAAGGGTACGTTGTGACTTACCTTAAAAATTACAGCGGTCCCTCGCTATAACGCGGTTCACCTTTCACCTCGCTGTTTCGTGGATTTTTTAGTGCAAGTTTGCATGCTTTATTTTACATCACATTGTGTCCTGCGTCCTGATCGCTGCAGACGATCTCCTCCGTGACGTCTCTCCTGTACAGTACAGAATCGCTGCATCGATGCTAGCAGTGTGACTGAAGTGCAGTGCTGGATGTCCACGATGTCCACGAAACGTTTTGCACCGTCAAAAAATAAAATTGGCTACTTGAGTTCACCTATCGCTGGTTATTTGAGAAGGGTCTGGCTGCAGCCACTGTGGAGCTCCAAAGTAACCGGATACACGTGACCTCCACACTAACCGGAAACACGTGACCTCCACACTAACCGGAAACACGTGACCTCCACACTAGCCGGATACACGTGACCTCCACACTAACCGGAAACACGTGACCTCCACACTAGCCGTAAACACGCATGGATACCGTGGAAGTCTTGCAAGTTGATCACAAAGGTTGGTTAAGTCTTTCTTAAATAAATTTGCCGTTAGTGATTTCATAATTCTAGGAATCGTCTAGTTTTCTTACAATGATCACGTTGCCACTTATTTAGCGTTACAACAACATTCCTCCTTATTTTAATGTTTTTTCATCGTGCTCCATGGCAGAGAAACACACAGATATGCTTTTTCCTGGGCCTGGTTTAAGTAAGAGAGCTGGATTAACGGCTTCTGTGGGCGAGAAGAAGCAAAAACCACATTTTGCATTAGAGTATGATTTATTGTTGGCGTCAGAGATGCAAAATAACGAATACTTCAATACTGTACTTAAGTAGAATTTTCTGGTATCTTTACTGCTGTACTTTTTTGTGCCTACTGTATACTTCTTTATACTTCTACTTCTCACATTTTAGCACGCGTATCTGTACTTTGTAATCCGTACATTTGTAAATCAGCACGCGTGCTTTGGACGCAAGATTACTTCAAAATTTTGTACAGAAATGATATTTTAGACCCTGTACTTCTTGCTTTGACTTGACTAAAAAGTCGAGTCAGTGCTTTCTAAACAGAGGTATCTAAACTGTAGTAAGGAACGTGTGCACTTGTGACACCTTTGGTTAGCGTCAACACTGTAAATTTCGTCACAAACAGATTTATATATTTATCAATACTTCTATTCATTATTCTTTTCTGTACAGCTTTTTTATTGCCCAGATTTTAGTTAGCCCCTGTTCAATTGACTGTTATATGTCAATAGAAACATGTCTCACAAATTAAAGTGTCTTGTAAAATATTTGTGGGGTTTTTTTTTCAAGAATTTTCTTCCCAAATCTATTACATGCCAACTGTAAATTGTTATTTCTGCCAAATCCTTAACTTAAATGTGTATATGGTGTTTATCTGTTTCTCTCTCTGTTTTAGATGCACACATCAATCTGGAATTCGGGCTTAAAGCCAGAATTGCAGGAATGCAACACGTGTTGCAGAGGACTCTTTCACTGCCCTCTGTGCCCCACTTTCAGCCCTACTGTCAGGGCAAAGATTGAGGAGCATCTAAGTGTGCAAAAAAAAAAATGCTTTGCCTTTCAAAGGTATGTTTGTATTAAATATACTTTATAGTTATAAATATGCACTTTTTTAAGCATGTCTGCAGTATCTTTGTTGACTTAAAAGTTGCTGTTGATATTGTACAGTTCAGTTCATTCATCTGCAACAAAAATAGTGTTTTTATAAAATATATTTTTATTTACTTTTCACCACTTTTCTTGACATAACTTTTGTGATCCATACCATTTTGCTTTCATTATTGAGGTTGGCTTGGATGTTTTTGTTAACATGTACAATCTGATTGTTAGACAAATTGATTGCATTCTATACAACTACATTTAAATTACATCTGTTTGTTTGTTTGTTTTTTTCTCTTACAGATAAAATGATATGCCGGTGCAGGCTGCCTTGTAGGACAACGGGACACTTTCACTGCCCTGTCTGTAAGATTACAATCATACGGCGTGGGGATATGGCAAGGCATTTATTGTCTTGTCAGCATTCTTCAATGCCAAGTCAGCCACCATTATCAGGACTGCTCCCCGCTGAACTCTCCGAGGAGACCCGTATTCCTCCGGCAGTACTCTTCGAGGAGCCCTGTTTCCCCCCCAAGGTTTTGTCTTCGGTATCTGAACCATTTTCTGAGTCTTTGTTAGAACATTCATTGGCTCTACCCTCTGAGTTCAATAAAACTGCAGCTGATGGAAAGTCCATGAAAATGACATGCCCTCACTGTGGCCTTACTCTTCATAGCTCTGGCAAGCTATTTGCAAACTGGAGAGAGGAAGCCAAAGCTGTGCTTGAAGGACAACACGTGCCCATTTTCAGACTGAAAAAGCGCAAGTTCCAGGAAGTCAGTCAAGTCAGTATTCACTTTAAACAGTAGTGTAATTACATGGTTAGTGAAATTTGAATAACTGTTAAAAAACTGTTCTGGAACAGAGAAATAACTATGTTTTCATCCCCATTTGCCTGACACAGGAGCCAGCAGTTGTTGAAGATCTGCGTCCTGCTGTGCAGTGGGTTGTCCAAAATAAGGCACTTTTCCGTGGACATGTAACAATGCCCAAATATCTGTACTTAAATCAAGGGGACCAGCAGAGGGTCTTAATAGACATGTCAGAGGAAGAAGACACTGGAGCAAGGGACTTGTTCCTCTTTGTTTTTCAGTTTGCAGAGGACATGGAGCTCTTTTTGAAAGCATGTGCTGATGAGCAGGGGCTAAGGGTCAGTGCTATGTTTGACATGTAATGGACAAATGAAGGCACTGG